AAAGCGAAATCATCATTTTAGTCATTCAATTCGCATCCAGTGGTTTTAGACATTTGTTCAATAAGAGAGCCACATCTCGAGATTCTGGAGTGTTCTCCCAAAAGATGACTGTGTGTTATGTCTTCGACTCCTTCTGAGTTTCTTAGAGCTTCCTCTAGTTCACTCGTGGGCAATCCGCACGGTCACCTGTCAAATTCAAATCATTCAAAAAATCAATGTAACTCAAATGAAAATGCTTCAGAGACAGTAATTTTGGAGTTTCGTTCTCTCAGCTGGATGGTTTGGTCATGGAGCTTTCATTGTCATTCTGAAAGAATCGGTCCAATTTATCAACCAATCATGAAAATTATACACAAAAATAGGAACAAAAATCGAACCAATGGGACACACAACCAAAACAAAGAAGTAAACATTGACAAATTTAAGGTCAATAAGAACCAGTCAACATCAAGGTGTACAGGACAAGCTGTCAAACACTGTGGAGAATTTCGAACACTTCACTTCAATCTAAAGTTTGTGCTGATGATGTCATTCAGAAGAACGATGAAAGCTACACGACCAAACCGTCCAGCTCAGAAATAGAAACTTCATCAAAATCATCCACCTGAGCTACATATCTTCTAAACCATCACAATAATTTTGGGTCACAATATCGAAATTCTGTGAATATTTTAGATATAGAATGATTGTTTTGAAAGTCTGCTGAATAATTAAACAAATTAAGGTTTACAATAATTCGTCTTACAAACTTCAAGTTGAATCAACCTTACCTCATTCAACATACCATCGATTTACAAAAATACAGGCTTCATTATACGATTTCCCATTGTTTCAAATACTGATGAATCTTGTCAAAACTCAAGCACCCACCGTTTCATCATTCCTACAAAAGTTTTTAGAATAGTTTGTACAGATAGTTTATGAAGCTTAAAAGCCTCACTTATCATCTAGATAATAATTTACCTACTGTAGAACTCAAGTGAATATGGATAAACACTATTTTCATCAACACAGAAATGTTAGTCGTCCTCGTCGTCAATCATCTTACTCTTCTTCCTAATCCATATTGAAACACTTAACCCAGTTGAAATAGACTGTTAATTTAAAATTTCATGAAATACATAAGATTATAATCACGCATAATTGCTCATTGTATAAAAGAATATAAGCTAAGTTAGGGAGGATAGTGACAAGATACAATTTTCCTGTTACCTTGAATAGATATTCGATTGATTATCCAATATGTTTGCCAGATGTTCCGAAATGGCTGTTTAGTACTTTTAGGTTTTCCATGGTGGTCTAGCTTCAATTGACTCATGAATTCAATTATTAAGTTACTGCAGTCTCCACAAAACCCCTCTCTGATTATAATCTATTCAGTGATTAATTAATTTGAAATTATCAATTCAAACCATGATAATGATACCTAGTGATCTTGAGTGTTGTTAGAGATATGAAGGTAGTTATCACTTACCGGTTGCCCATACAGTGGGAGGGTTATTCTGGAGGTACCTAAATAGAAAATCGGATTAAGGATGGTCTTAGTGACCTGAGAGCGTGACTGAAATGCCAAAGAGACAACTACTTGAGGTCGATTATACACAACATTTTTTGTATAATTTTCATGTTATATCCGTATTTATTGGAATCTTACTGCCGGAGACAGATAAGGCAGGATATTCATTTTTACAGTTTACCTTTTTTAACCTACAAATTCATTTCTTCTTTCATTTCATATTAGTGTCAAACAGATTTTAATCCATCTGGTCAAATTGAATGGTTTACATGGAAATCAAATTATACACAAATTCATTTATCATATGGTTCTAATTTACAACTTAACTTGAATCAACTTCAATCTTCATTAGAAATGATCATAGTGAATTCAAAGAATTTATGGATTATTAATAAACAATATTCCAATGATTATGAAAATCATCTTCATGTAGATGATTATATGAATTTGAAAAATGTTAATTTTCATATTCATTTATGGAAATTCACATGTATAGCTAGTTCATTGGGATTTGATAGTCAGTCAGCAAATAGATTTATTATTCAAGCTGGTATGAGTATGTTTATTTATATCTTTTCATTGTTGTTTAGAACTCTAATTGATCAGTCTCATATTGGCATATGTGCATCTTGTACGGACTGTTTTGATATTGCCTTCAGTTTCAAGTATTATAAGTAAAGTAGTGGGATCCAGGATGCGCGTTTATTCGGTTTTATGACTCGTTAGCTGAATGTACCTGCCATGTTTCAGAAATTGATATTCACTCCAGGATTCTTATTTCGTTTCGTTTGCTTCAAATACCATCGTATTATCTACCCACTTATGCACTGAATTCAGACAGCCACCAGTTTGTGCCTGAATATTGGCGATTTGGGTAGGATGCACATATGCCATCAGGAATTGATCAATAGTAGTCCTAAACATTGATGGTTAGGTTCAAACAACTGATACATATGAAATTTGAATGGTTGAAATCATGAGTCAATTGAAGCTAGACCACCATGGAAAACCTGAAAGCACTGGAAAGCCATTTCGTCCTAGTATGGGAATTTTCAGCAGTGGGCATCTACAATCCCTTCTGATAATACATAGGAATTAGAATTTAGAAAAAATTACACTTTTTAGAATCTACCCAGTCAAATGGCCAAGTGGAACGCTTTGTGAGTACATTTAAAAATGCTCTAAAAAAATCTAAAGGGGAAGGGACCACTGAAGATATCTTAGAGAGGTTTCTGTTTATTTATCGCTCTACACCGAACCCTCAGACGATTAACGGGGTCTCTCCAGCAGAAGCTCTACTTGGCAGAAAGATACGAACACATTTCCATGTCATCCGTCCTACGCCAGCTATTGAACCCCAACGAAACCTATCGACGGAGAACCAGTTCAACCGACATCATGGGGCACAAAGACGATTGTTCATGGTGGGACAAAAAGTACTTGCTATGGACTATTGTGGGAAACATCCTACATGGACAGCTGGTTGGATCTTGAAAAAGAAGGGGAGTGTGGTTTACGAGGTGTCAGTTGGCTCGGAAGTTTGGGTACGTCATGCTAACCAACTGAAAGCAACTTCGATAGCCAGCAACAAAATTCAATATCGATTACCTCTGGATGTTCTGCTAGACACCTTCGAAATCAAAACGCCGGGAATAGACACGTCAGTTTCTATGCAAGAAAAGAGTGATACTTCTCTATTGCCCAGACGATGGACTAATCGAAAGCACAGGCCAGTCCCTCGGTTGCAGTTGGACCCTAGCACCAGATCCTACGAATCTGCTCAAAGGGGAGGTGTTAGCGGGACATTGACTGGATTAAAGCATGCTCAATGCATGATTGCTTTGGTGCACGCTGATTGGCTAATTCTTATCCAATCAGCACTAGTCGATTGTTGGAGAATACTCTGGAATCTTCTTATGTAAAAACTATAAATATACTGACGTTCTCCCTATTGTGCTTCTGGCTTGCATCTTGCTTCCATCTAACCTTGTTATTTGGAATATAACCTCTTTCCTGTTCAACCGTGTTCTGATTTGGGGTCTTGTCGAGTGAATCGGTGTCGAAGAATACTAAGCAATAGGAATAGCTGGGTTATACCGTAAGAAAGAGATTATAACAGAGTTAGAATCTATTGATTTCATTCAATAAACAGAAATAATTCTCTAGACAGGTTTTAAGATATTTGAAAACTCAGGACATTGATTTCAGTGTTTGAAGTCGAATTTTTCTGGCCTCGAATCAACTGGTTAATGAAGTGTATTCACATTACCTGAAACATTTTTTTCTACATAACGGTGGCGTTTTTTGATGGAGTTTTGTTCTCTGAGCTGGATGGTTTGTTCGTTCTTCTGAACGACATTATCACCACAAACTTCAGATTGAAGCGAAGTATTCGAAATTCTCCACATGCATTTGACAGCTTGTCCTGTACACCTCGATGTTGATTGGTTCTTATTGACCTTAAGTTTGACATTGTTTACTTCCTTGTTTCGGTTGTGTCTCCCATTGTTTTGATTTTTATTCTTATATTTGTGCATGATTTTCCTGGTTGGTTGATAAATTGGATTGATTTCAATATGTTTATTGATTGCTGATTAATCTGAGTGCCAGGCTTCTGAAAATTCTCTGGTGCCTTTGGAATTCATTCTGTCCAAGATTACCACATTTTTCCAATCGGATGAATGTCCGCAATTGTTCACGTGTATTGATATAAGTGAGGAGATATCATGGTGTTTGACTGACATTTGATGTTTATGTAGGCGAAGGTGTAGGAGCGTCCTCTTTGTCCGATGTAGTGATTTTCTCAGTTGGCACAATTTATTTTGTAGTTGATGTTTGATTTGTCTTCCTTTGTTATTTCATATTGGGTTTGGATGGGATTGATTGTAGTGGTTTTGTCGGTTTGTGTGCCACATCTATCGCAAAGGTTTTCAGCAGTCTCGTTGAGGTTTCAGATATACCTGGATATTGGCAATTTGAACAGGATGTACATATGTCGTCAGGAATTGATCATTCATAGTCCTAAACATTGATGGGGAATTCGAATACTTCACTTCTATCTGAAGTTTGTGCTAATGAAGTCGTTCAGAAGAACGATGAAAGTTCGACGATCAAACTATCCAGCTCAGAGAACAAAACTCCATCAAACACATCCGCCTGAGCTACAAATCTTCTTCACGGTGGCGTTTATAATATTTATTGTTGTAATGACTAATTCTCAACCATTCGTAATAATTTTTCTAGTTTTGTTCATTTCTTAACTTTTGGTTAAACATAACAGTTTTTATATTTCTGTACTCTTAGTTCCCATTTTGGTTAAACTGTTCTTAACATTAGTCGTCACAGCGACTAGCTGTCATTTACGCTATCGTACGTTGTAATTACTCTTAATATGATCACTACTATAAATCTTTCTCTGTTCAAACATACAGACATGTTAATCGCCTCAGATAACTTACAAGTTGAGGTTTTTGACGAATTTGTATATATATATATATATATATATAGAACTGTTCTTCAGACAGTTTCTTCAGTTTATCACTTATCTTAGTCTTGTAGTTGGATGCTTCGATAAAATTAACAGGTAGTTTGATTTTGTCTAATATAAAATTTTGGAATGATGAACATCTGTGAGCAAGGACATTCAAGGTACCTCGCAGTAAACATATTACTTTAAAATCCCTAAGTTAAGAGCCAATAATCTACACCTTTACTTATACAATCAGTGATTACGGTGAGTCAATGATTATCTAATGTTACCAGTAGTACTTTTTGACTGAACTCCACTAGGCATAAATTCCCACTGGTAATTAAAAATATTAATCTCGATGTTAACTATCAGTAAGTTCATAGATATTCTTTCATTTGACCGTTTGTTTAGATCTTTTTCTACCTAATTTTATGATAGTCATTCTGTGAATATTCTTTCATGATAAGAAACTGTTTATCTATTGAGTAGTCGTTTAAAAAATAATCGGTTAATTTTTAATACATGTGCTCACAAGGGACTATCTTCGTGTCAGGTATAGACAGGTATCTACTTCAAACAATGGAAGAAAGCCGCACAATTTCGTAGATTGGTTGTAGTTAGATATTAAAATTATTAGATACCGGCTGGCTCAATATTCTACAGGTCAAGTGTTCACATGCACGACAGACGTTCACGGATGGATGCACACTGTTGAGGAGTCCCATACAAGTAATTGAAAATTTATTTATATACTTATGAAACATATGAAACATTTCCATTTAATTTACTGGTTTAAAGTATTTCTTCTCAATGACTAAACATTTTTTCATATTTTTTTGTGAAAAATTATCCCTTCTTATCTACAGAAAAACCTTTTGTACATTGTAATTCACATGTTTATGGAATTCTAGGCAAATCAATTATTCTTACCTGCAATGTTGTCAGTTTTCTGGAAATAAATTTTACCTATCCAATATGGTTACATAATGGTGAATATATTACAATAGAAGATTCATATAGTAATAATAACAATATATTGACAATCAACTCAACCATTGAAAATTCCCAATTCCCAATGATACTTACTCAGAATTTTATGTCTAAATATAAAATTATTCACAGAAAGTATTCATTTGGATGGCTTATTACTTTACGGATAAATAATTTAGATCTAAATGATGAAGGAGTTTATCAGTGTACATTTTCAAATTTAATGGGATCAAGTTCATATGAGATAAATTTATACTTAAACCGTAAGTCATTTATCTGTTTTGTTAATAAAATTTAACTACTTTTGATTATTAAAGTAGTTCATCTTGTTTAACAAAATTTATGGGGTAGAATATGTTCGAGAGTCTTGAAATATATGTCAGGTGATATAACTCGAGTCTTCTTCAAATATATGTATAAATCTGATAGGGTTGGAGCTATCACGAGTTCACTCAAACTGCGAGCGAGAAACAAGACTCGGTGACCAAAGACCGATAAGCTAGCTATTGATGCGTCTCAGTCCCTCTAACTAGAGGGAGAAGTCCAAGCTTGGAGTGGGGAAGTATATTCTACAAACCTCCAAAAACGAGCGGTAACAACAAACACAACTCAAAACATATGTATATACAGCGAAAAAACCGACCTTGGGGAGAGTTACCAAATAGCATATTAAAAGACGCAACGGGCCAATAGCATTCAAGATATTTCCCAGTGAGAAATGTGACATGAAGGTGACAGGAGCACTTTTCGCGCGAAATTCATACTTTCTAAATAAAATTACAAAATTAGGTCCTTTCTCAAGTGAGTTCTGAGGATTAGAGATCTCCAAATAAATCATATAATCTGATGAATTTCGCTACTTTTTGAAACGCTTCATAGACATTGTGATTTATGGTTCATTGAACCAGTGTGAAAAATTTAAAATTTATTTAAGTAATCCTGCTAAAATACATAATTCTTTCAGCGAGAAAATCATGTTTTGTTATGCTGCACAATATTTCAGTCGAAGATGTCAACAATTCTTCTCTTCACTTTTGTACTAATCAAATAAACTAAATCCCTAGTGTTGTCATAGCAATCGGTCTTCTCGCATTGTTATTTGTTAGGTTCTAGTCAGTCAGCCATCGGCTATGTAGTACGTAGCACACATGTCATCTATCTACGTTAAAGTAATACATCATTCCAGATGGGTGAAAATATGATGATGAATACTGAAGTATCTTAAGTAGTATCAGCTGTAGTAAATAAAGTTTATTCATTGACAAAACTAATCGAGAAAAAGGAATGACTTCGCTGAATCAGTGATCTAAGATAATCTTGAAAATTATGATGCAGCAGGAACCAAGCGGTAAGCGACTGTGAATTATTGAAATCTGGGTGTGAGCCATTTCACCGAACGCTCCCGATTGTTGTTCACGTTAAATATACGGAATTAAACTATAAAATCTTTATCTACCAATATCCCATGGACCGACAGTTAGTGACAACGTGGACTGATCCCTTGGACTGACTAAAGCATTCATATGTGTAAGGTTAAACATTCATTCATTAATTTTTTTATGCCTGATATATGATTGTGTTAAGTGCTTTAGCCTACTAAGGTAAACCTCTCTCTGACTCCTTATTTGCTGTTCTAAATTGTGAATACATCGGATTTTTTAAGGTGTATATCTCATAAGTTTAACTGTCAATGTAGAATAAACCTGCAATTGGTCATTCGATAAACTACCAATGCGTACAAATGTCCATGAAAGTAATAGTCAATACACCATCTTGAAAAAACGGTAAGGGAAAGATGATAAAATATCAAATTATAGTATCTAGTTGTTTAATTGTAATTGGTATAAATAAAAGAACACGACAAATGAGAACTTGTCCGATATCTATTAAGTGGTTATTTTAACGTTATTAGATAATGAACCTTTGGGGTTACAAAAACATTCTTTGTCTGAACATTAGACAACTCTTTATACTTTGTGATAATAATTCCTTGATCATCTATGTGGTTTATGGACTTGTATCAATTGAGAAAATGTTATAAGAAGTAGAAGGTTTTCTGTTAGTCGTAAATTTCATTACATCTGTAGTAAAAAATGAAGTTTGTTGTTCAAACTGCTCAATGACTTTCGGTTCATTGATATGATGAAACTATTCAATAGTGAGCTGTGAACATAACTACTCTACATTGTAAGAGGATCATATTTAGATATGTAATTATTTGATAAAGACTCTAGATCCTAGATTTGATCCTTGATGAGATCATTATTGAGGTATTGCATTTGAAAATGTGATCGTTATTCATTGTTTTCTGATCTTAAACGAATGTCTAACCAATATGATGATATAAACAAGAAAATTTAACTTATAAATCTAACAATTAAAAAAAAAACAATTATTGAATTCATGAGTTAGTTGAAGCTAGACCATCATAGAAAATCTGGAATCACTAGATGACCATTTTTTGACTCATGAGATTCGAACCAAGAACCTACCAGTCTCATGCAAGAGAGTTTAACCACTAGACCACTGAGATGAAATGGCTGTCCAGTTCTTTCATGTTTTTCATGGTAGTCTAGTTACAAGTTAACTTATTATTAACTAAGATGAACAAAGTTTAATACTTTTCATATTCATTTCTATTATTTTGTTTTAATGTTTTAGATAGATTGACCAGAAATGAATTTATCATTATGATTGTCAGTTGTGTCATTTCATTACTGACTATTCTTACATTCATTATTGGTTTATTATATATTCAAAGAAAATGTAAATATATTGAATGGTTTAATCATCATTGTTTATGTAAAAAATGTAAATTGACATTGAAAAGAACAACCTACAATAGAAATGAAAGAAGGTAATGAGAATAAACTCTTTTTTGGTTTGTGTGTGTGTGGGGGGGGTAGATTACAATGAATGTTCACATTTTTTGCTTGTATTTTCCCGTTGTTGTCTAAGACTGTAATTGATTAGTCTTTTGTTGAAATATATGAATCCTGTGAGGAGTGTTCCAGTATTGCTTTAAATCACAAGCTTTATAAGCAAAAATGGATATCAAGTGATTTTAAACTTCATTCTATTGCACAGGAAGGTGGCTATCAGAATTCAGTACCTAATTTTTATAAAGCGATGGAGTTTCAAGTGAACGCTAATGGGTTCGAGTCACGGAGTGAACATCAACTCACTCGCAGGTACGTGCAGCTGACGAATATCATAAAGGACGAAATAATCATCCTGGATTCCACTGCTGGCTACTAACAATCTTCACTTATAAAATTATAGTGCGACTTTTTAGGTTTTTAGAAGTGAACTCTATTTATTGTAAAAAATAATACTATTTTCAAAAATGAATTAGAATGTATTAGTATTTCTGAAAGCCCAGCAAGAATTAGTAAAGTATAGAATTCAAATATGCAGATGATTGGAGCAACGTCACCAATGGTGATGAAATCACGTCGCACTTTGTCAAAAATCATCAACCAAAGTGTCTAATACTACTATTAGCGACGATCTTATTCATACTGTTGTTGATATTGAAGACTGAATTTTAATCAATCTTTGTTGATATATGTAAATCCTGTGGAGATTGTTTCGATATAGCCATTGCGAAAAATTACTTGGAAAAGCTAGTTATAAATAGTAGAAGAGTCTAGGAGTTCTATTTCGTCTCATTCAGAAGTCGTCAGTTGTATGTACATGTATTTCAGAGAAAATGTTTTCAATCAATAAGTAAGTGACAATCTAAACTCAGACATTCTATGAATAAAACATTAGCGTTTAGAGGAAAAGGTAATTGGTTCAAGTTCAGATGTCAATAACTGAACTAGGATGCGAGTATATTCAGCTAGCGAATCCTAAACTGGACTAGACAGGAGTCTTACATTTTACTAATTTGTCTAATGTTGGTCACTCCTCAGTAAACGCGATGATACATGATTTAATTCCTACATGTTAGGCAGTAAATACTCTCCACTGTGAAGTTTTGTACTACTATAAAACAACTGTTCAGTACAACTTAATCTCTAGTACTTGCCTGACAATGGTCATTCTATAAAGTGTACGTTAGCAAATGAATGTCATGTATAAAATGTATATCATTTCGTTTTTTCTCTTCTTAGTAGATACAATAATAAAACAGTTGGATACTTTACGGCAGTGGATTTGTCAGAAGTTATACAAAATTCACTTATTGATGATGATCATCCTAATGTAATTAATAATAAAGAAATCAATCAATCGCTCAATCAACCTTATTCGGTAAGTATCTTAAAGAAATATTTTAATCTACTTATATTATCTAAGTACTTACAACATTAATATTAAAATTAATCGTATTGTATAATCTCAACTAGACTAGAAGTGAAATGATTGATTCAGAATCTCACATTTCGGATTGATAAATCAAACCAACTAAGGCAAGCATTTTACACATATATCATGAACTAACTGTAAGATTTAAATGCATCAACAGGGGAATGGATGGTTTTGTTGACATTTGATACAATACAATCTGTAATGAACGGGAATATAGTCGAAAATAACCAAATGGCTATGAATCTCTTAATAAAATCTGAGAACCACACTGTAAATACTTCATTTTCAAATTGTCAATCAACTGTTTCAGACTTGATTTTTCCTTCTTCTTTCCACACCAATCATTCTCTATCCGCGTTCTCTTCTCTTCAATCTGCACAACGTTCTGTCGTCAAACATTTCACTTTTGATTCACGATACTCATATTTGTCGACATCAGTAGCACGCACCACAAATCAAGCCTTAGTTGTAATACTGAAGTATTTATTTGGTACACTAAACATGAAGAATTCTGAAGTGAGATAACAATTATTCATGTTAAATATGACGTGAATAAGAGATACTCTACTCATCTTAATAATAAGGTGGTTGAAATACATTCAGCTTTAAGTAGATGGAAACAATAAATAGTTGACAATCTGTTTTCTTTTTTCTTTTGAACGGTATTTAGAATGATCGCGTAGTTCCTATGAATCTACTTGATGACTACGTAACAGGTAATCCTATTTTACATGGACAACAATCAACTTTACATGAGAAATTTTGTTGTGAATATACAAGTAAGTGATCACTGAATAATTAACACATGATTATATTCTAATGATTGGTGATTTTGTTAAAATGGTATATTGTATTTTTTAGTGAAAATAAGTATTGACTTATGTATAAGATGAAAAGTAACATTGCTCACTATGGATTATTGGACCAATAGACTCTCCCTATTTTCATTGTGTGACAGGTTCTCCCTAATTCTATTAAACAATAGTTGTGCAATGAAGCCAAATTATCGGGCTGAGAATCATAAAACATTTGATCCGGACGTTGGGGCATAAAAGGTTATCCTTTCATGAGTGACCCTGATATTCCAAGTTCGATCTGTCGTGGTTTCAAGGATATGTGTTGTTGAGGAATTCCATCGACAATTCCATATCTGACTATTAGTTGTTTTAACATAAACCACGAAATTCCTTGATGTTATGCTATACTGAAGAAAGTATTTACGTCGAAAAAAAAACACATGACTGCTGATGTAGAAAACCAATTAGCAAACGTTTTATAACTTAGAAATGAACACTCCTAGATTGATGAACTTCTATAGGTGTATCAATTGTTGATGTAGAAATTTCAAAAGGCCAATTGTTAAAAATTCTGAAATGGTTAATTAGAATCATATAGAATTACTTCAGAGAACGATCGAGTACGGAAACGAAAGACGCTAGATGTTGTTCATGATAATGTTCTGTAATAAATCACTATGATTTCATTTGAACATAAATCGTAATAGTAAGAAGAATCAAGAAGTTAATAGAGTTATTAATTACTCTAAATGGATGAATCAGAGATTGATTAACAGCTGATACATCGGTGTCAGTATACTGATCTCCTCTATTTACTAAATATACAATTAAAACAACTACTGTATTATCACCGTTCCTTCTTAAATTGAATTCAAGAACAGACCTAACTATATGAAATATTTTGCATCTAACTTAGATTGCCAATGAGACTATAATTTATGGACGATCGTTGAGCAAACACTAAAGTGACTTTGAGAGTGTCCACCTTATAACTCAGACCAATGGGGGTTACAAAGCTGTGTGAGGAATTCGAATTATAATTTACAATTGACGGTTAAAATTAAGGATTAGATTTAATTCTTTCATCACGAATTGACATCAGCTATAATGTCAATACACTAGTTGGCCAAATGAATGTGGTGAATTTCGCGACAAAATCGGAGACCTATTATCATATACCTCATTGGTTTGTCCATAAATTATAGTCTTGCCAGAATGTCTTATTCTTTATCAACAATTGAATATACCTTGATGAAACAATTCTAGTTTTTGATAGATTTTTCGATTATAGTCAGTTTATGATATACAATTACGTGGTGTGTGTGTTTGTGTTTTGTTATGTAACTTAGATAATACTTGTCAAAATCAGTTGAACAATGTCAATATTCTATCTGAATCAAATTGTTCCACATGTTCAAATACAAAGCCTTTAATTCTAACTAATAAGAACAATAATGATCATGATAGTTATGTATATCATTGTTGTGAATTAAAACAAGATCCTCTTCAATCTATAACCAATTCAATATATGATAATAACAATCCTAATTATACAATAAAATGTCTTCATAATAAATTTGATTATGAATCTGTTCTTCAAAATGATGTTAATAATAATAATAATAATAATAATGATTATAAATCATTAAATTTAAATCAAACTCCTTTATTGAATTCAATTTATACAAATGAGATTTGTTTAAATGAATTAATGTCCAATTCAATGATCAATAATCCATATTTATCTTATTTTAAATGTCATACAAAAACAAATCCAATTCAAAGATCACATAATACATTACCTCATCATTGTATGTTATACTCTAATAGAATAAATAAAAATATTCATTTATCTAATAAACACCAAGATAATTGTAATTATTGTATATTGAAATGTGACAATTCAGTTTTGGCGCCTAAATTAAATGAAACTTTTTTATATTATGATAATAATAAAGTATTAACAAAAATGAATGCCAATACTATATTAGATAGAACGAATAGAATGTGTAAATATAATCATTTCAATGAATAAATGTAAAGATATTTATGAATAACACTATTCTGTACTGAATGTTATCACATCTATTTTCATATGAAATATATATTTGATAGTTTATCTAATTATCGGAAGAGTTTTATGGAGATTTTAGAAGTTTCATTGATTGAAACCATGAGTCAATTGAGGCTAGAAAACCATGGAAAACCTGGAAGCTCTGGACGGCCGTTTCGTCTTAGTATGGGACTCCTCAGCAGTGCGCATCCACGATTTCGCACCCCGCAAGTTTCTTACTCAAGACCCACTGAAAGCAATGGTGTATGGCGACGCAACTTTGTGGATTGGTTGACGTTAGACATTAACATTGCTGTGTGGCGGCCCATTGGTCTAGTTGGTTAAGTGCCTGACGCCATATTGATAGGTCCTGAGTTCGAATTTCGCGGGGTGCGGGATTGTTGATGTGTATTGATATGTGTAATTAACACAATTAATTCATCTAGGCTTAATTCACCTGCAAAACAATCAAACTGAAAAACATGTATCTGCCTCACACTTATTATAATCATGTCTGTCTCTGTTTTTCAGCGTAATGTGTACCTCGGTCTTCCTCTTCTCCATTGGCCTTGAAAATTTCAAGTGAAGGCTTGCTTTGTGACACATTCGGGTGCTTTCCTCGATGTGTGCCCTATGCAGTTCCAGCGTTTCTTCTGGATTTCTTCCTCCGCTGAAATCTTGTTTGTTCTCTCACACAGTAAGTTGTTGCTGATGGTGTCTTGCAAACGAGTCCGAACTATTTTGCGTAGAAAACTGATAATCAACAGTTGTATCTTCTGGATGATGGCTTACGTAGTACTCTAGTTTTCCGCCTCATACAGTAGAACTGTTTTGACATTTGTATTGAACATTTTGACATTGGTGCTGGTTGACAGTTGTTTTTACTTCCAGATATTCTTCATTCATGAATATGTCTGCATCAAATCCATCGTGTTCATCAATGATGCTGACCAGATTTGTGGAAGCATTTACATCCTTCAAAGTTTTTCCGTCGAGTGTGATATCATAAGGGCATTCTGAAAATTTGATTTGATATCAGGATTTGATTCTTTTGAAATATTTTCTTCCAATTTATTAGGAATTTCCTTGGTGAGTAATGGATCATTAGAAAAATCAGCGTCTGTCAAAACTGCATAAGGATTTTGCTCATGTTTGGATTCATTCGACATACTTTCCTGAAATCTCTAGGAAATGTGTGAACCATTACGACGAACTGAAACTGGTGCTATAACATGAGAAAAACGACAAGAAGTTGATTGGTTAGAAACTTTTGTCTCACAATCATTCAGAAAGCCATTTAAGTCTGGATTGCTATATGACTGTATACTGCTTTACGAAATCATGTAAAAAGATAATGTAGTGTCGGTTATTATGTTAAGCCCATATACCTTATTCTAGCTTTTGAACAGCTCATTCTATTCATCCTACTTGCGTCACATTTTGACCATGTTGATTATCCGCTTATCAATCTTGACTGTTTTTATATGAGCGCATAGGTGTGTTTACATTTCTTATCGCAATACTCATCACATGTCTGTAACTTACTTTTGTACAAGCATAAATACTGATTAACGCTTGGTTAAATGGGAGTTGGGTTACAAGCCATCTCCACTCTGAGTAGTTTCTATTCTCTCTATTCCATTCGCTTAATATACGAAATATATGTATTCACATGTCCATTCTCGTTATTCGATTTATTTAATCCCGTTATAGACTAACACAATTTAAGTCGATGATTATCAACGAAGATAGGCGATAACAAACATTCATATGAACAGATTAAAGTCTGGACACGGGGTAGTAAAATAAACTATCATTAGAAATCGTCAACTAAGTAGGATCAGAATTACAGAATTTAATATTAGTTGCAGAAAAATGAACCTAATGTGTCCAATCTCACCACATTTAAAACATTTCAAATTACGAAATACACATGAATGATATGCGTGAAACTTGTCACAGAACAAGCATTTACCAAACTTGTGCTTATTTTTGTGAACTGTCTCACAACTCAATAAATTGTTATCAGAATAATCTTGATTACGCACTGGACTATGACGGCGTGATGTAGTGGGACTCTTGATGTTCTGACGAATCATTTTAAGAAAATTTCCAATTTCAACGCATTCTAAATTTGTATACTTTATATGGTGTAGTAGCAGTTGCTTCAGAGTTGCATAACGAAGAGAAATCGGCTCGTCAGGAGATGCCAATGTCTTTATTTAGCTGTATGCTTTTTTTCCGATGAATGAAAGGAAATGAGCCACAATATTGACATCCTCAACAACATCCTTGGTTATAGCCCAGATTCCAAACCTTTCAATGTGATTCGCAAGAGCATCGAAATCTGAGTGTATGTTCAACCGTTCTATCATAGGCTCCATCAGGACGCAAATGTGATAACTGGGAATATTTCAATCATGGTACAAATTAGGAATCTCAGGAATAACGCAATAAAAGCAAGAACAGCTAGATGAGCACGAACAAAAGTATTGTTTTTGGAATTTGAAATCAAGCAGTCAACAAGTACAAGTGAATCATTAGTTCATAAAAACTAGTTACTAATAATCAGTAAAGGTAGAATACCTGATCGATGGATTTCCATCAGTATTTAATTACCAGACAGACAGGACATCAACAATTGTGCTTTGATCAATAAATATAAACATCTCTGTCCTACAACATGTCAGTTGTGTTTACAGTAACGTAGAAGTAAATTACCATACTGCGAAATTGAGTGATATGAGTTTGAATTACACGAGGAGTATTGGTTTCTTCAAGATTGAGAGTAAAACATACTGAATATTACCAACTACTATGATATCGGACTGCACGGTTTTCTGCCGCCAGTCTACAAACACCAAACATTGTCTAGCTCAATTAAATTATCTCCTTAATAAAATCATCCAAAACGATGAATCTGAAATTGGCGAGACAGTGCAAACCTGACATGCTATTTAAATATTCAACTGCGAATGCTTCTTTCCGAAATAGCGCATTTCAAATCTGTTGAAAAGTGAGGGCAAACTTCAGCACCGAATGACATATCAAAATGTATTCAACCTCATGTAAAATTTGGTCGCTCACATTGAACCATGATATGCAACTAATAATCAATATTCAGTGGAAACATACATTTGGTCTATAGTAGAATGTGTTTATTCAGAATGAGGATGAAGATGAGTTTATCCGTCACAGTGATTGATATAAAATGGGACACAGAAGGTGACGTGGATTTTATCACCGATCAACACAGGAAGTATTTGCTAGTCGTGTCTCAAAAAATCAGAATTATTAGTTGGCGATCCATAGATTGATAAACTGAGCAAGTAAGAGCTAGATGATCATGTGAGGAAACAACCATCAAACTCATCTGAAATTAGACGGTGAATATGTACAGTGTTTATTCATAGCTGGAGGAAGAACGCCTTTGAATTGGCAGCCGACAGATTTGTTTTCATTTCATTTTGTTTATAGAAAGTAGTAATCTTTTGGAAAATGAGAATTTCACTCATCTTTTTTCTGAACGTGTGGCTAATTATCAAGTTATTATTAGAAAGCGTTGTTTTTTTATTCTAAATAAGATTCATATTACGCTCACTATACATAATAGATGATATAGAATGATACCATATTATTTGATTAATGAGATGGCGTGAGGTGACTGACGACAACAAAGTATAATCATTGTTATTTCTGTCAATAACTGAGGTCAACAGAAATATGTTTTTGTTAATTAAATGGTCAGATAGTTTACACTGAGATTAAAGAAGTAATAATAAATTTTACTTTAAATTTTGCACAGAATGTATCGGAAATGATGGAATTTGTTGTAATGTTATAGTCGATCAAGGGAATCGGACAGGATTCCCAATTTTTCAAATATTATTCCTAAATGCATAGCATTCAAAAGTCATTGCATCAGTGGACCAATTAGTGGAAGATGATGAAACGAGATACATCTTCAGGTTAAAACATTTCATTTTTGAGTGCGTGCAACCGTTTTCGTAGTTCTGCTTTGCATTATATTTTCGCGTAATGTTGGTTTTTGTGAAAAAAAAACTACGTAGCGTTTCTCCCTTATTTGTTATCTTTGAACAATCCGTCACTCAACAGCATTCTTCACTGTTGTATTATCTTACATTTCTCAATCTTTATATGCAAAGAATGATATTATCCAGCAGTGGAATTTAATACACGCGTATCATCTCTATTGAGACTCATCAGCTTGATGTACCTGCATCTCATAATTGATGTTCACTCTTGAACTGGATTGCAGTACTGTTGGCTTGAAACGCCATCGGGTTATCCTCTTAGCTTTTGAGTCCTGATTGCCACTTGCAAGTACAATATAAAAAATTTTAAAATTTATTTTGTATTGCCTGTTTACACTTCTTAATAAGTGACTGATCAATTACAGTATCAAACATTAATGAAAAGTGTCAAACGAACAATACAAAACGAATATATATAATGGTAATTAAATAATTAGACAATTAGTTGAATAAACTACTTTTTATTAAAGAAGACACTAAATGAACTAGCACAGTAAACGCAAAAAATTAAATGTACAATATGGAACTGGCCAATCTATAATCCAGGGAAAGATAACTGTGAGTTGAAAAGTGATAAAATATGGAATGAATAAATAAGCAAAATATTTAATTAAGAAGATCGTTATTTCACTTCGTAGAAGTAGAGAGGAAACAATCTCAATATTTGTCAGTGAGGAAATTGTACTATTTTTATTTTTATTTATGAAATACGTTGACTAATGAATCTGTTTACGTGGTGTGAAACCATTAACAAGTGAACAACTGAGACTTCAACACGAGTCGAACTTAAACTAAAGATTTGGCATCTAGTGGTTTATATTCCTGAATTCATTCACGTTTTCAGTGTCTGTTGAAATGAAGTTACCTTACGTTGAGGCTTGCGAAATGTCTAAGCCACCTGATTGAGATACGCTCAAAATCGAGGTTCACAAAACAACGACGTTTTCTAGAACGTCAGTTCTTTATTGAATAATATGCAAAAACTAGTTGCAGACCTCAACTTATAAGATGTCTATGTTGTTTATCGCGTCATTTTGTATGAAACAAAAATAGCTTCCCGTAAAAGTAACATGAAGTATAATTACAGTATACAATAGTGCAAAAGACAGCTGTTAGCTTTGTCTAAACTTGCTATTAGTTTATCAACAAGCAAAAACGGAACCAAGAGCTAACAATATGGAAACAAAAGCATTTAAACAAGAGCCAAACGACTGCACGGAATCGTAATTAACTGTTACAATTATTGATATAAAGTAACTATGATGATAAATATATATACATATATATGTATATAATTAAATGTATAAGTACATGTGAACATTTCAGAATATTACACGACTAACTCGCGTTACAACATAAGCATAAAAATTGCTGGGAATAAAGCTATTTACGGAATATAAAAAAGTAATATAATCAATACGTCAATCAATACGTTTTGTATGTCTTAGACAAGGACATAAAGTTTATGAATGTAAGCTAACGAAGCACTGTAACATTAATAGGTATGAAAAGAAACACCATTCTCTGCTTCACAGCAAAAATGATAAACCTGTTATCCAGAATTGTTGCAGATATACTAAATCACTAATCAGTCAAGTGTGTTTAGGAATGCCGAGATTGTGGGTTATGCTCTGGTGGACAACGGTTCAGATGTGACACTGATAAAATCAAACTGTTTGAGGTCCCTCGAGCTGAACGAAGACCAAGAATCAGTGGTAGTTGAGACTGTGGACGGTAATAGAACAATGAAGGTCACAGTGCGTCTTTCGAGGTATATTCTTTAGATCGGTCCGAACATGTTACGATTGAAGGACCTCTGGTTGTAGCAAATAAACCAGGTCATAATCCAACGAAGTCGACAATCAACAACCTAGTTAAGTGGCCGCATTTAAGTGATGTGCCAATAGATAGCCTAACTTTGAAGAAGTTTTAATGTTGATTGGTTGCGACGTGCCAGAAGCACATTGAGTGTTAAACCAACGGTTGTGTGGAAGGAAGAACCCGTACGCTGTGAAAAGGTTGCTGGGGTGGACGGTCTTTGGATCTGTATCATACCCGGAATATAGGAAAAGAGTCGTTAATCATACCAGTGAAGTACAGACTTTGTAGAACAAAACAGGTAAGCTTTATGGTGTAACGTTTTCTGATGGTTATGTTTGTTATACCATGGATGCTGTCAAGAACAATTTCGACGTTGACGATTGTTTGATATCCGTTTCTACTTGTGATCCGGCAAAGAAGTTTGTTAAGCAGATAATTGAGTTATTACGTGGAGAAGATTTTAATTTAAAGAAGTGGGTTACCAATTCGAAAAACGTAAGGACTAGCTTACCTGATGTATGCAAAAAAGAAGCTTTGGGAGAAAGGTCAACGAGGTACGACACTGCTCATCAAACTCTATTTATAAAATGTGGATTCCAAAGAGATGTATTTAAGTTTTACCTAGCCGTACCGGAAAGGCCTTTGACAAACAGAGAGATTCTATCTGTTGTTTCTTCTCGGTTTGATCCATTGGGTCTAATTGCTTCAGTCTGCCTTACGACCAAACTTCTCTTGCAAAAATTATGAAAATCCCAAAAAGGCTGGGACCAGACTCTCAATAAGCCATACATGTCCACGTGGCTAAATTGAGTGAATTATATGCGTCGGCTGGGTCATGTTTCTGTGGCTCAAGGGATCAAGAAGAGAATCGACGAACCTGGAGTGAAGGTAGAATTACATTTGTTCAGTGTTGCGTCAGAGTTTGATAAAAGAGCAGCGGCTTACGCACCAGTTAGTTATTTGAAGAAACCACCATACTGTATCTTGCTGTACAGCAAGTCTAGTGTACCACCTATCGAAGAAATCACTAAACCGAAGCTTGAGATGTCGGCATCGGTGTTAGGTATAAGGGCAAGTGAAGTCTTACGGAGGGTCTGCCCAAATTTTTCTGCCATTTGAACTTCCATACAGACTCCATGATAGTGTTATACTACATTGAAAATATCGAGAACCGATATTGCATCTATATGGCCAACCGCCTCGCTGTTGTGCAGCAGTATACGAAGGTTGAACAATGGAGTTATGTCAAGTCGTCACAGAATCCAGCTGATTGGACCGCGAGATATAAACAAAAAATGAATGATCATGAATCTTGGTTCAAATGTCCTAGTTTACCGCACGTCGAATTTTGTATAACAATCACTGGTTGTTCGGAGCCTACTCCTGACGATATTGAGTTTAGAAAAACTGCTGTGGTTAACTTGAGTAGTATAAAGTATAACATGTCATTAATTCTCTCTTATTATTCCGAGTGGTTGAAATTATTCAGCGCCGTAGCCTGGCTTACAAGGTTAATAGAATTCCTGATGTTACTTCGTTCACCGAGTCATGAAGAATCCGTTCATCTAGGATGTTTAAAAGTCAAAGAGCTTGGCACCGCCAAGCGTAAAATTTTATTGATGGTTCAGAAAGAAGTGTATGGAGAAATACTTAGTGCATTTAAAAACGGTGGTAAAGTAGTTAGTCACAATGATCTGAAGGGCTTATCACCGATAATGCTTGATGGGTTACTCTGCGTTGGAGGTCGACTAAGCCACTCAGACTTCCCAAATGTCTTTAAACATCCAATAATATTGCTCAGTCGACAATTAGTGACAGAAATGATAATAAGACATTATCATAAGGAACAAGGGCACACAGAAACGTCACAAGTACTGACCATGATTTAAAAAAGGTATTGGATAATATAAGGAACCAGCACGGTTAGGATAGTGATAGGGAAGTGTGTTACATACCGGCGGTTTACCAGAAATACGGGGCAACAATTGATGGCGCCGCTTTCAGCTTGTAGAGTTCAACAATGAGGGTATAGCTTCTCAGCATTAGGAGTGGGCTACTTTGGGCCCTTTTTTGTCAAACGAGGAAGGTCACTAGAAAAAAGATATGGATGTGTAGTTACTTGGTTGCAAACCCGAGCAGTACATATTGAAATGACACATAGTTTGACTGTTTTGACGTTTGTATTGAAAATTCATACCTTGGTGTTAGTTGACAATTGTTTTGAATAACTGTTTCCTCCCAGTATGTAACATCTCAGCAGTCCATTGACACTAACTAACCTAAGGTCGAATATCAGATTTCATGGACAATGTGTATACTTCCAAACATAAATTAAAAAATCAAATGATCTCTACAGGCTAAAGTACACTGATCACTGGATTTGTAAGTGAACAACTTCTTTTCTGATCCTCATATGGTCTATTTCTATCAGTCATGACTGCGTACTAACGATTTAGGAATTTATCCCAGAGTTTGTCACCAATAGTTATACAATTTTAGTTTGACTGAGAGATTGGTGGAGTGAAGATGAATATGTTCTAATTTAGGTCTGTCACTTGTACTTATAGATTAGTGTCTTGATTTATATTTGTGGTAGGGTGTGTTGTAACTGTTGATTTAACATATTTTTCACTCATAGCGGTATACTACGCTAATACAATTATATGATAATTAGGTTGGTCTGTGCGATCAAGTTAATATAACCTCTAAGTTGAATGCCTAATCGAAATGATATGCATGAAGTAGATTACAATATACGAGATACGTAATTTACGATTAAGAACAGAAAACCACAGTAACTCTAGACAATACTTTATCACACACAATTACAAGCAGTCAACACTCAGTGGATCCAGAGTTTAAATCAATACGAGGAAGGGAAATTACATATTCATTCAGTAATTTGTATCTTTTTTTATTTACATTCTGTGACTAGTCACATTTACTTTCTATATCACACATCAGATTGTGGATGCATACTTCCGAAAAGTTCTGTGATGAGACAAAACAGATATCTATTAGTTTCTGGTTTTTAATGATTTGCTAATCAAGATAAGTTTCTGGTGGAAACCATAATGCTTCCATCCTAATTTTTCGTACTTTTCCTTCCATGTATTATTTAGAATTATTTACTCAAAACGAATTATCCATCTTCGCCAACAGTGATAACATCATCATTAACGTCGTCATCATCATCATCAGACTGGGTAAAATGTCAAAGTCCTACACCGATTAAATCAAATTCATCATCATCATCATCAACAACAACAACAACAATGTCATCATCACATAAATGGTTGAATGCAAATGATAACATTGAACACAATAAATCGAGGTTTGTTACCATGAATAAAAATCATAAATATATATTTAGTAAATCAACAAATAATTTATTAAATCATTCAAATACCTTGAATAATACTAATAGTCCAATAAGCAGTGGACGTTTAACACCATGTCAAATGCAAACAACAACTAATTTAAATGAAGAACGAAGTTATGAAAGTATATCTGAGAATAAGATTAATGAGGTATATATCTATGTAAATTGTATGTAGATTATAATAATGTGAATTTTGTCGGAAATATAAATCTCGCGACGAGGGATCATGGATCCTCACTGCTGATGAATCCAACAGTAGGACGAAACGTCCGTTTAGTGCTTCCAGGTTTTTCATGGTGGTCTAGCTTCATTTAACACATGGATTCAACTATCGAATTACTTAAATCTCCACAAAACTATTTTCTGATAATAACACATACCGTTATCAACTAGACATAATAGGCCAGTAAACACTATGTGCCTTTGATGCATTTAGGTGTGTTAAGAGAAACCATATTATGGTTGTTATTAAAGAATATTAGGTTGGATATTGAGTTTGAAATTGAATATCACAGATTGACTTTCTTCAGAAAACTAGCAAAACTAGTAATCACTGTCTAACTGTTTCGTTCTAGTGTAGGACTCCTTATTATTGCATATCCATGACCAAACAAAGCGATCTCATTCAGGATTTTGAGACCAAAGCAATAAAACAGGACGACTACTAATAAAAAAATATCCGAAACAATCAGTTGAACGCAAGTTATAAAAATATGTATATTGGTAAGTGCATTAGTCTAACTGTATCATTGTATAATTGAGGTGAACTCTAGGAACTCTGGGGAAAGTGATACTGAATATGCTTCCTACGTACACAGAGACTCTAATTCTTCTACTTTTTATGGATATTGGTTTATTCATTTAATGAACTTTGAACTTTACCACTTTTGAACGATAATAATTATAATAATAATAAATAGTTGAATTCATGTGTCGATCCAAGCTAGACCACTGGTGAAAATCTGGAATCACTACATGATTGTTTCGCTTTAGTATGGGATTCCTCAGAAGTGAGGATCCATAATATCGTGTTCGGAACTTGAACCCAGGATTTTCAGTCTCGTGCGCGAACGTTTAACTTCTAGACTACTCAGTCATCAGATATCCAGCAGTGTTAATGTTTAAAACCAAATTCTTTGTACACTATATTGCAGTCTTTTGTGATGAATCGTCTTAAATATTATTTCCAGTTGGATATGCAAAATCAACGATTTGCCTCCGCTCCCTTATTACCTGCAGCTTTATTAACCGGAAGTATCATAAGAAATCGACCAATCATTAACACCACAAGTACTACGACTACTACAACTACTACCAACTCTACTGGTGATATATTCAATTCAACCAAACTTATTTCTAAATCATATTTAATTAGTTCAAATACTGGTTCATCATCAGTTATTCGATAACATTCATCTAGTGAATTAAATAATTTATTTCAAGACTATAGGCTACGTAGAACATCTAAGAGTACTTCCATAGGTGAATCAATATCCCCTGGTTGTGTTTCATCTAATGATATACATACTAATAATCAACGGCATACGAATATTGATAATCATCATACCACTAGTTTGGCACAGTTGTATCATCCAAGTCATTTAATAAATGACAGTATGCAACCGAATTTCAATGAAGTTCATGATCAGCACAATGATTTGGGGAAATCATCTGTAAAATATAAGTCAACAGCATCTACCATATTAGACACTGCCACAGAGGCTTCAAAGAATTCAAAGATACAATTAAGCACAAGCGATAATTAAGTGAGTGAATTTAAGTATTATTTACATTCTAAAACTAATCATCAGTTTCATGAGTTAGTCTGAATCTTACTTGTCGTCGATTGTGTAAATTTAGACCATATTCGATATAATTAACTTAATTATGTTGTTCGGCTAATAATCTCAATCTGGAAGAGTTAAACCAGAGTGGTACAAACGATGAATCGATGCAAACTTAAGTTAAAGATCCATTATCTAATAAGTCTTTATCCTGACTCACCTTGATACGGTGTTGGGATGGTACTATTAATTTCGATATATCAAGACATTATCACTTATTAGGCTCATTTTATATTTAAAAAGAACATATCCAACGGTCAGAATGTATCGAGATTATGATCAAGCTGTTGGTTGTTTTTCGTCTTCTTCACTGTCTGTCGAGTGGACAACTACCTATCATAATTTAGACTGCTTAGTTATTTTCATTCTTCTATCTTTATCTAACCCCCTAATTATTCGTAATCTCACTGAATAATTGGAGTCACGGACCACTCCACGATGCCATCTTTCCTATTTTTCCTTAGACATATTTTATCATACAACTGTGAATATGGATGCACAGCTTAAGTAAATAATTTTGTCGAAAGAAAAATTTTCTCCACTGAATTCTCTTCATTGCTGTCCAATTACACAATGAGTTACTTCAAATCTGAATTACGTCAGTTTGTATCTATAATGTAGTAGTAATGGTTTGTAATTTCTCGTTGTTGAAATTCACGATCAAAACTGATTAACCACTGTTATCAGATGTAGATCTTAAGCGAATGAATTTGATGCAGCTTCATGTCACCATTCTCAGTATATTTTATGTGTATCTAGTAGTGGAATTCGTGACTTAGATTCCACCTTAACTAGATCTCGTCAACTTGATATGTCTGCATTCCCGTGTTGATATTCACACTAGAACACGAACCTGGTAATTTACCCTCAAATGTTTATGCGTCATTTAGTTAACTAAGGATTCCGGTTAGCCACTTATTCGCTCTATCAGTATAAATTCATAATTTCTCATTGTTGAAATTCAGGACTGCCATCAATCAGTTTACATTATACGCATCTATAATGTTTTGGAACGAAACATAATCAGCGGTCAGTAAAATTTGACATTCCTTGTGGTTGACATTAAAATACAATAAAACCATTCATTTCCTCTTAGTCCATGCTTTTTATGCAAGAACGATTGTAATATTTGACAACTTTATACAGTAAATTAGGAGTGGAAGCTATCTACAGTCAAGTATA